GAAGGGAAGGGAAGGGAAGGGAAGGGAAGTCTCTCCCCTGCATGGGACTTTGCTCTGTGGACAGACCATGGATGGCTGTTCTGAAGCTTGGGATGTGCTGGTCCCCTGTGAGACATCCAGAGTGTGCTAGAGGTAGTGAAACCACTGGAGATGGGTCTTTTAATGGTCCACATCAATTTTACTGTCATAAAATGGGCAAAGTGATGCCACATGCTGCGGAGATGATGAGGTCTGCTTCAGGAAGCTTTCTGACACCATGACACCAGCAGGGAAAGGTCCCAAAGAAAAACATCAAAGCTGACTGCAGCACTGCAAGTGCAGTAGTGACGGCTGCTGGAAGTCACTGCAAGTGAAAGGAAGAAAACAACAAAAAATAAGGATGATTCACTGAAGTTAGGGGGAACTCTTTGGAAAACCGTCATGAGATCCTATAAATAAAGACAGCATGTGACAGTATCAACTTCTGGCTGAGAGTTGTGTGTCACATCACTGACTAGCCCTGAAGATACCACCAGGATTCAGTGAAATCAGTGAGCACTTGCATGCTTAACGTCACTTTGTGTTTAAGATCTTCAGGACCTGAGGCTACTGGTGTTTAGTGTTTATTCGTACTTAACCTGATCTTCTTTCTAAAGTCCCATAGGTCATTCTGTGATGGTCCAGAATTTCAGGTATCTGATTACACCCTTCATCAAGAAAAGAAAATCTCATGAGTAGGCACATTCTGGGCTAAAGGTACAAGCAAAAATTATTCCTCTCAGGCTCTTCTGTGAAATGCTTGCTGTGCCCAGGGCCATATACTAACTCATTGCAAATTTGAAATGAAGCCATCATACTTGATAGTTTCAGCAAATCTTCCTTCCAAAAAAACCTGTTTATCCCATTTACCTTCAAATAATGAAATGAAATGAAATGAAATGAAATGAAATGAAATGAAATGAAATGAAATGAAATGAAATGAAATGAAATGAAAGAGGAGGATGGTTATAAGCAGCACATCATCAGCTGTGGTAGGTAAGAGACTGTAAATCTCTGATTTAAATTGGTCCGTGTGGGATTTTGCAGTATCCGAATCAGGTAAACAATATTTTCAGGGACTTACAGTTGCTTACACGTAGAGCAAAGATGACTATAGTGGGCAACATGGAGAGCTTTTTCTTAGAAGTGCTAGGCAGTGGCAAGCATACTGTTCCCACCACCAAGGTCCTTCCTTTAGCACGTTGTCTTTCTTTTACTGCCTTCTCTTTCCTAGGGCAGAACAGTGGCTGGACTAGAAAGTCAATGCAATGTTTGCTCCCCTCGAGGACCACCAGGCTTCTGCAATGGCTGGGCAAACAGCACCAACGCAGCAGTTGAGTTTCCAGTATTCACGTGATAATTTTTAAGGCAGTGAAGACTTCTGCCCTTAAAATAGTAGTTGTGTATTTGAAGACTGGAGTGCTATTGACACCCCAAACTTTGAAACGGACAGTTGTGCAGGGTTAGCTGCACAATTAATCCCTTTTTGGGTAGGAGGAAAAGGTTTGGCTTTTCTGTAGCTGATACCAGATGGAGTGAGAAGATCAGGAGAGTGGCACAGTTACAACCCTATGGTTCAGATGTTGAGGCGGGGTTTGGAGGTTTTTTTTGCATCAATGATGTTTGAGTTTCCATCACAGTGAGGGTCCCAGTAGGCGCAGTAGTAAGTAGCAGCATCATCTGGAATTACATCTTTTATCGTAAGAACACACCGTTTCTGGCCAGAAACCCTTTCAACCATGTACCTGTTTGCTTTAAAGCCACTTTCAACTGAAACTTCCCCTCCTGAAAAGAACAGTAGCCTCTCTGGAGCTTTACCCTCCTTCTGTTGATACCAGTGTATGACGGTGCTGTCAAAACGTTCCCCTAATGTTTGAATTTCACATGTCATCCGTGCACTTTTTTGGAATTTGGTGATGGAAATAGGGCTCTGCACAGGAATTTCTTGTGTAAATCCATCTAGGAAAGAGAGAAGGAAAAATGATGTCACTAGCTGGAATTCAGGGATTTGGGAAGATGCCTGTTAGCACAGCCATGGGTGCATGTGAGAAAAGGTAAGAAAATAAGGAAGGACTTACAAGACCAGATGGCTGTGGCCACAAGCGCTGCCAGCAGCAGCATGTTTTCTTGTCACACTCTGCTGTTGTTGAGACTCAGAGGAGGGTGAAAGGGACCCCAGATGGGACAGTGTTCTGTGGGAGGTGAAGGTGACTCTCTTGAGTGGTCTTCAGCAATGGGTCTTCTGAGAGCAAGCAGGTGGGGCACATTTGCAGAAAACCCTTTATCAGGCTGGCAAATGTTAAAACATGTTAGAGGTTGTCGTCCAGTCTGCTTTTCAGATAAATACGAGAAACATTGGTAAATCCAAGGATTGTGGCCCTTGAAAACTGGAGCCGGAGCCACTGAGAAAAGGTTGCAAGCGAGAGCAGCTCCAGTGGTGTATCAGGGCGTGAAAGTTTCAGCCCGGAGATTGCACTGGTGGACAGTGAGTGTGTGCCATCACCCGGAGGGGTGTGGCGAGGTGCACGGCACCCGAGTGGGTGGGAGGCATTCCCCCATCCCATTAGGGAGTTCCTTTTGCTGCTTTACCTTTGTCACCCAGCTGCAGCACGCCGAAGTGTCTGGGGTTCCCCTGTGCTGGTGTTGCCCTCCACCAAAGCAGCTGGAGGCCATCAGCCTGGAGAAGCTGGAGCAGCTGCACCATGGGGAACATGCCCCTGCTTTTGTTTCAAGCGCAGGAGGAAATGCACAGCTGCAGGATTTCGGTTTCAAAGCTCAGATGAGATACAAACACTTCTTGGAAAGGAAGGCCGGAAAACATAAGCGAGCCCAGTGAGAGCTGCTGTCAACAGCCATCGCAGAGGGGCATCTCAATGAGAGGGGCTGATGCCGCGGGGTGCTCCGCTGTGACCGGTGAGCCCGTGCTGCAGCTCTCTGGGCACGAGGGAGATGAGCTGCTTCAGCCTCCCTCCTGCTGGCTGTTGGCCACATGCAGCAAGCTGGGAGTAAGCGCGTGTTGCTAACCGGCTTGGAAAGACGCCCGTGGGTGCAGGCTCCAGGGAGAGGCAGGCAAGGAGAGACGCCTGCCTCTGTGTGGCAGCGAGGGAAAGGGTCCTTCTCTTCCCAATAAATAACCATGGGAGAGTCTATTGTTTTTCTGTCAAGCCACCCTGGGGGGGATGAGAAGGAGAGATTACTTAAGGACCAACAGGCGCAACAAAGTGGTGAGGAAGAGAGAAATATGAAACAGACTTTAAGGTGAAGGGAAATAGGAGATTTCGATAGAAGATGCAAGGAAAAGGTCACCTAACCCAGCAGCATCCCATGATAGTCTCCTGCATGAGCAACTATAGTTAATCAATCAGAGTGAAAACTCTGTTGCCAATTGTATATTGAGGACCTGAAATCAAGCCCCTGTTGCCAAAAACTACCACGACATGTATAAAACAGTAGACGTATGTTGCTGTTCTTCTGATCACACAGCAGAAATCTGTCAGGCACCTGATCCCAGGTGAAGAGTAAAGGAATATGGTAGTGACTGGGTCACACTGGGTTTGTGTTTCAAAGAAACACAGCTACTCAACCTTCAGTGAACTATCTTAATTAACATCTAATTAACATATAATATGCATAATAGAAACCTGCCGCTGGGTGGGGAAAGCCCCCTCCTCAGAAAAGCCCCGTCCTCACTGAGCATGCCTAGAAAAAAAGAAGGATGCTGTGACTTTAAATGGAGACGCGGCTTGTGAGAGCCAACGGGAACAAGAGTAACAGAGCCAACTTTTAAAAAATACTGATAACTGTTGCTCAAAGTGTATAAATATCTTCTGTCTGTTAACTGAGGTGCGCTAGCTTTGTGGACCTACCACCTAGCACCCAACTGTGCGCCGATTTGGAATAAAAGCAAGTATCTCAGCTCTGTGTGTTTTTCAGCTCTCTGCACACCAGGTGGAGGAACCCACGTTTGAGACAACACATCTGGACATTGATCCATTGACAGCTACCCTCTGGATGTGACCATCCAACCAATTCTTCATCCACCCAACAGCCCACCCATCAAATCCATATCTCTCCAGTTTAGAGAGAAGGATGTTGTGGGGGACCGTGTCAAAGGCCTTACAGAAGTCCAGATAGATGACATCAGTAGCTCTTCCCTTGTCCTCTGATGTGGTCACTCCATCATAGAAGGCCACTAGGTTGGTCAGGCAGGACTTGCCTTTGGTGAAGCCATGCTGGCTGTCTCGAATCACCTGCCTGCCCTCCATGTGCCCTAGTGTAGCTTGTAGGAGGATCTGCTCCATGATCTTTCCAGGCACAGAGGTGAGGCTGATGGGTCAGTAGTTCCTAGGGTCCTTCTTGCTACCTTTTTAAAAAATGTGTGCAATATTTCCCTTTTTCAGTCACCTGAATATATGCTGATTCAGATTTACTGAATATTTCAGATATACTGAAATCATACCAAAAGTTTATCAAAAACAATGTTAGGAGCCTGTGGAACTGTAAAACCACCTCTGTGGAGTTATTTGTGTCATTTTTGAAGGTACAGATGCATTAAGAGGAAAATCTCATAAGATACTGAGTACGTGTACTCTGTCTTAATTCAGAAACTTGGAGGCACAAAACTATCTCAGTTTTCTGCCTTAGCTGTCAGGCAAATGTCAGCTTTCCTAGAAGCAGTCTTTGATTGTAGAACTTGATTTGCAAAACTCAGTATACTTAACCCAAAGGGCCTGAGAGTCTCTGCTTGCCAGGGGCTTAGCCCATGGCTGAGGTTTTCAATCCTGTCCTGGACACATCAGGTGGGAAACTGTGATGATACAATTAGGTTTTCTGGACTATTGTTACAGTCCAGAAAACTGTTACAACTACTGTTGTAGGAATTTGTAATGACTGAAATGCAAAGGACAACAAAAGAAAAACATGAAGGAGAGTATGCAAGATCACCTCGTCTTCTCTCCTTGTTTTATATTCACGTCTTTTTTTCAAAAGAAAGTGCTGAGGGGATGAAGATATGTTTCTCTGCTTGCCCCAAGGATTCTAATAGAGAAGAGAAATTTACAGCTCACATTTGTTCACACACATATTCAGGCCGTGTTCGCTGTCAGGTGAATGCTTCCAGTACAATCAAGCCTTCATCATAAAAGCAAAATCCTATATATTTACCTTAAAGTGACTGGAACTCAGCTGCAGAAAATCATTAGAGAGGGGTGGAATAGGGAAGTATCTATCTATCTATCTGCATTATTGGCAGAGTTCAGAGCTTGCGGTTCAGAGCGCAACGCGCCTTTTTGTACAGCTTATCTTTGCCTGTAATGCTGTGATGCCTTGATAAAACCAATAGGCACAGTAGTAAGTGCCAGAATCCCTTGGGGTTAAAAAATCTATCGTGAGATCATAGAGGGACTCAGTAGGATGTTTCCAAACTTGAAATCTCCTTCTATTATTGCTGTCATCAAAAACAGGTGACTCTCCCCACATGTATAATATCCTCTTTGGTGGCTCTCCGGGAAGCTGTTTGTACCAGTGCACGACGGCTTTGCTGCTGATTCGGCATGTGATGCTGGCAGAGCTGCCCTTCACCTGCCTCCGCAGCGCTGGGGTTTGCACCGGCGCTACCTGCCCGTCTCCACCTGGAAGGGGAAGCAGAGAAATTGTGTGAGGGGAAGAAACTGCTGGAGTTGAGAGCCAGGACTGTGTTCTTGGCACGCGGGAAGGAGAGAGGCGAGGAGAGAGAGGCTTACGCGACCACAATGAAGTTGCAAGAAGGACTGGAAGCAGCAACATGCTGCCCATGTGGGTTAAACCTGGAAATCAAAAAAACAAAGACAGAAATGTTATAAAGCCCGTCAGGTGGAGAAAGAGTCAAACAACTGGGAGGAGTAAATTACTCATTCTGCACATCCAATGACTCTTCAACATGCCACCATTGAGAGGGTTAAATTTACTGACAAGCTAAACCACAGCAGTAACAGTGTAGAAAGCACCTAAACCACTCAGTCTGAAATAATTTTTCTTCATATATCTATTTACTGCATTTCTCTCAGACTCACCTGCTGAGGACACACATGAAAACTCAGGTTGTTCAATCTGGCCCTTCCCAAGGATGTTCTTCTCTCCTCAGACACCTCAAAGCTGCTCCAGAAGCATGTTTCACCTAGAACACACTGCCTGCTTTGGTAGCACAAATGGGATAAGTCACAGGGAATCGACCATCACTGTTACTTAAAACATCTCCAAAACATCAGGTCAGCCTTTATCCATCTACCCTAGACATGGTTTGTCTCCGAGACATCCTCCTGGGACAGCACTCCAGCTCCTCAGGGCCAGTTCCTCTGGCAGTAGTGTCCTGTGAGCAGTGAGGTGGTTGGGCACGTACTGTGTACGAGTACCTGCCTTCCTTGCTGATGGGGTTGTAGCACCAAATAGGAAAAATACAGCTGAAGCCCCTTTTGCAAGAGTGCCCTGGGACTGTGGCGAGGCCAGGGTGAAGCAGGCATGTCTCCCAACCAGCTGTTTGCTGCCCTCTGCTTTTTCTTGTACTTGCCTTCATTTCGGAGCCCTACAAAGGCTTCATGGCAAATGGTCACTTGGGCAGCAGTCACCACACAGCATGCTCTTCCCCGAGAAAGATTTCTCATTTTCTGACCCAAAAGAGAGAACCCACTCTCAAGCTTTTTTTAGGTTTTTCTCACTAGCAGTGTACACGACTAAACCTTATCTCACAGCTGGTACCGAAAGTTCATATTCTTCTGTTGTCCTCTGATAGATACATGAATTTGTGTCAGGTCCTGTAGTGTTGATATATCTACAGTGAAAGAACAAAAAAGGAAAATATCCTAAGCATGGAATTTAATGACTGGAAGACTCTGTCTTTAATATTAGTCCATTTAAGTGTGAAAGTCAGAGAGGAAGGTATCTTCCAAGGCCAAACTAAAGCTGCAAGAAGAACTTGCAGCATGTCATTTTCAGAGATGACAGCTGGGCCTGTACGACCTTAGGTAATGAACCTCAGATGCGGGATGGACTGCTGCTAAGGAGAGGAAATTACTTGTTTGAGTTAGTTACATGAAATATTCACATGGACACGGGGTTGTCCATTGCCACATAAGTGAAATTTCACTGCATCTGTGCTCCCAGCTGTCTGGCTCAGCAGTGCTGTGCCACCATTTCCATATGGTCCCTGCTTTAGTCTGCAGCTTTCTCTTGTAAATGGTCTTCATGATCCTCTCTTGGGGCCATCTTTTCAGGTGTTGCCCAGTGTAACAGATCGTGCCTATAACAAGGGGTCCTGAGCGGTATCGGTATTGTAAGTGGTCATCACGATCATAATCATTAAGATGGGAGTAACCAGTGATGAGTATCACCAGTATCTCCATCATGACCTGTATTTGAAGTCTCCCAGGCTAGATTTTCAATGCAAATATCCTCCACTTACGCTTCCTCCCTGCCATTTGTTTCATTTTTGCTAGCTCAGACTGTATTTGGGACAGTATCTACATTCAGCAAAGACAGTCCCTGTTCCTGTGTAATTCAGCTGTTATTACCACCACCCGCAGGAGTGCTCCTTTTCCCCGGCATAGCGCATTGTACCGGCTGGGTTGTAGCACGCTGCAATTCTTTGCTGTTCTCTCCGTCCGTTATCTCTACTTACACATGCAGCAAAAACCCGTGGGGATGTTTCAGAGGCAGGAAGGTGCAATTGTGGTTCTCCACGTTTGACAGAAAGCTCAGGCTACAGGCAGCTTTCTGTACACGCTGCCTGTGGTCTGCCAGTTCTGTGGGACTGCCAGTAGGCACAGTAGTAGGTACCTTCATCGTTGGAGTTGATGTTATTGATTGAGAAAGTGCAGACATTTGTACCTTCCTTTGAAGAATAATACTTGCCTTTATAGGAATTGTCATCATAAGAAACTTGACCTCGTCCAATATACAGAACCCGTTCGGGAGTTTGGAAGGTATCTGTCGGTACCAATGTATGTACGCAGACTGGAAGTCAGATACGCCCTCAACTATACAGTCAATCCATGCAGTTTTACCTTGCCCTCTGGTAATGGATGGCTTAGTCTGCTTCAGAAGCACTTGTGCTTGTCCACCTGGAAAGAAGGAGAGAAGACAGAACAAACACTCTTAGCCTGCTAGTCCTTCACACTCATAAATACGGGGTGCCTCCTGCCGCTGCCCCGTGCCGTGCTGTGGTGACAAGGGGAACCTACGAGACCCGACTGCAGCCAGGGCCAGGAGCAGGAGCAGCAGCATCCCGAGGGCTCTTGCCGGAGTCTGCCTCCAGGAAGAAGGCGACAGCTCTCCTGGCAGAGACGGAGGGCTTTCGCTGAGGAAAGGAAATAGTTACTCACTTGACCATCATCCGGAGAGGCTCCCCTGGCAGCAGGCGGGTGATGTTGAGATAAAGCAGCGTGACTGAACCCTGCTAAATGTTAACAGCCTGCTTATAGCTTTTACACAAGTGGCACAAGCTCACATTCTCTCTCTCTCGTAAAATTAAATAAATAATAAAAAAATTACTTTAACTCATTTACAAAGTAATTACATAGTCTGAAGCAAATTTTATCACTGCTTTTAGACTAGTTGAAGGCTGCTAAACAAAAGTGTCTGCCCGGGGTCAGACACTTTTCCTCAGGTCCACTGCCAATAAAATGGAGAACAAAAAAGCATATGGAGCTTAATGAATTTGAAGTCTCTCAAATTACTGCCCATCACACAGGTTGGATGCCGAAGGCCAGGAAAATACATAGCAGCTATTTGGGAGCTCAGAAGCAGCACTGCTATGCGTGTAAATCCTTCTTGTCACAGGTAAGGTGAGATGCTACACCCCAGGGTGGCATCTCCAAATGCTGGATATTATACAAAGAAACACAAATGCTTTACAGGCCATATAGGTTTAGTTTAAAACAAAGATGAATAGGGCAAGCAAAATGCAGAATTTATTCTGTGCAATTCGAAGTCATTCTTCAAAGGCAAGGTTGCTGCTGGTTCACTTGGAACAAAAACTAAACCAATTCCCCTTTCTCTGTTGTAATGTTATTTCACATATGTCAGCCAGTTTTTTCCTTTTTCAAGGATTTTCACACAGATCCAGCAACTGCTCTCCTACAGTTGTGACAGGAATTTGATCTGTCACCCTTCTGTGAAATGTAACCGATACCCCTGTGCTCGATGTGCTCTGGAGACCAGTAACACTGGGTCCTTTGGGATCAGAACACAGTGGTCCTGTAATTTTATCTATCAATCAGCTGTTTAGCTGCAAACAGAAAAAGGAGTGAAATTACCTAAAGTAATAATGGAAAGATAAATCTCTCTTGCAGAGTTGCTGTCTGTTTTGCAGGTTTGCTGCTGTATTGGATGAGAAGTCCCACTGAAGTCAATCGAGAGACTTGTGTTTTAACTTGAATGAAAATTTGATCAACTCCAAGCAGAAAACAAAGAGAAAATAAAATGAGATTCTCTACCAGCAGAGAAATACTAAATGGGTATATTGCATCTGCAGTCCTGACTGGTGCTTCAAGTTTATTTTCACTTACATCCTTCTATTCTGCCACACAAATGATGTAACTGGGGATGTATTCCAAAGGTGTAGCTTGAAGGGTAGTGGGAATAGAAAGTTTTTTTTCCTTCTTTTAGCTAGCCCACCCTGCCATCCTGTAAACTCACTCAGAGGCAATCCAGCCAGACCTATGAAAATGCCCTCCTTGTTGGTAAAGTGAAGTAACAGCTCTGCTGGTGCTGGCTGTAGTGCGTGTCTGCAAAGTGTGCACTAGCACAGCCGCGTCTTTGGTATCCGGCTGCCTGTAGAGTCTGTCTGACTCAAGGCTGATGGGGACAGTAGGGTGGGGATGGTTCCGCATGTTGTCAAATACTTCAGGATCTGGCTCAAAAAGCAGAGCACGTCTTTGTGCAGGTCCCCTATGGCTTTCGACTGATGTGCATCCCACACAGCACAGTAGTAGGTAGCGGAGTCTTGCAGAGTTACTTTGCTCACTGTCAGGGTGCAGACAGATTTGGCGTGGTCCTTCTCAATGCTAAATTTCCCCTCATCAGACTTGTTTTCAAGGTAGAGCCTGGAGGACATGTAGGCGATGCGCTTGGGAGCTGCATTGGGCCTCTTTCGGTACCAGTGAACGAAAATGTTGTTAAAACCAGGATCGGAGATGTGGCAGTTGATCAGCACTGTTTTGCTTTCTGGCTTGGTGATGGATATGGGGGTTTGTTGCAAGACTCGTGCAGAACCACCTGTGTGAAAGAAAGAGAAAAATTAGAGACATGAAGCTGAGATAAGAGACCATCCCCTTTGCTACTGGTGGATGTGCAGGGCACACACATACAGGAAAAAGCAGCTGTCAGGATGAAAACGTTCAGCAGCCACATTGTCACTGCCCCCCTTATGGCTTCCTTCCTGGGACAGGGTCAGGGCCACACTCAGCTGGGGGTGAAGCAGATCTGAGCAGCAGAAAACCACCCAATGAGGCTCTGCCAGCTGCAGATGTGTTAAATAATTATGCAGAAGCCATTTCCTTTGATTAACACTTATATAGAAAGCAAAGAAAAAAAACACCTAAAAACCAGCCTTGTAAGAGGAGAGCCCACTATTGAGGCAAACATATTTTTTTTCTTCTTTTCCCCAGGGAATTTGCTTAGATGATGTGTAAAGTCGTCTTTTTTTTCTTTCTCAACATACGATTTATGTGCGCTAGCTTTTAAAGTCAGTTCTTCATATCCAGATTTTTAAGGTACACCAGCTACCAGAGGATGGAAGAGAAGAGATGCCTCGCGGAAGCAGGCAGAAGTGCTGCCCTAAATCAGTGAGATCAGGAAGCATTTCTGCGAAATTGCTGCTGTATGTATGTTTGATGTTCGTACAGTCTCCTCTAGGCACCTGCGGCTGACCTGCTGCTGGAGGCAGAGCGCTGGGCTGCACCCTGCAGCCAGCAAGGAGGGGCGTAGGGTTAAATTTTGACTCTACCTCACGCTGGTGGTGCAGCTCCCTTCCCTGCTCGTCCTTCCAGGTTAGTAATCTTAAAGCAGCCAAGCAGAACTTTTTCGCTATTTTTCACAACTTGTTACCCTAATGAGTTCCTGCAGGCCAACCCAGCCTGGCAAGCGGGACGGTGGAGTCAGGGGAGGAGGTTTCCAGCCCCTGGGAGCAGAAAGGAGGTTTCTCTATCAGCTGGCTGATGGTTTTCTAAGGCTATGCAGTCCCAGTAAGCACAATAATGGGTAGTCTCTTGCTGTTTTGTGATTTTATTTATTGTCAGAGTATGGGTGGACTTTCTCCTCTCCTTCCCGGCCCAAAAAATATCTCTAAGATTTTTTATGAAAATAAGCATCCCCTGATGGCACGTACAGAATGTGCTTCAGAGCTTGTCTGGGTTCATGTTGGTACCAGTGGATGAAGGTATTCAGAAAGTCTGACCCATAAAAATGGCAGCTGATCCACCCAGTCGTTTGCACAGCTCTGCTGGTGGAAGGTTTTGGTTGCCTGAGGCTTTGCACAGCTCCACCTACAAGGAAAGCAGAGAAACAGCACTGTCGTGACAGCAGTGACCAGCCCCCGAGTCTCACAGACTGGGACTCTCCCAAACCCTTGCGACTCACACCTACAGCAAAGGGCTGAGGCAGCCAGAAGCACCCGCAGCAGCAGTACGTGCATCGCGCGACGCCGAGCCTGCCTCCCTGAACCAGGCAGGAGCAGAGTCCGTCCCCGGCAGGAGGGAGCAGGCACCTAAGGAGGAGAAATGAGTGACTCGGGTTCCCATCATCCCATGTCAACTCGAGCTTTTTGGGGCCACAAGAGAGCTCCTCTGTCCGCGTATGAAAGTTCCTGCAAGTGGTGGTACCTTGCAAATGGATACCACCACCCACAGCAGCTCCCAAAATTAAGCCCTGTGTTAAGCAACTACAGCTTTTCCTTAAGGAAACTGCCTCGTGACCTGCAACAGAGACTGTACCACAGTCACAGGCAAGTTGCTTTAGCAGTTCATTGCCCCCGTCTTACAGATTTATGTCTTATTTGCAGCCTGAGTTCCCCTTGCTTACTTTCTGCCTGGATATATCTTTGCTTGTTGTAGCGAGAGCCCTGTTCTCTAAGATTTATTCCCCAGATATGGTACTAGACAGAGATCAGCTTCATTCCTTAACTCTTACTGACCGAGGTGTTGGAGGCTCCTACACATCTAAGTGTAGGATGGTTTTTCATCCCATGGCAACACCTCTGAAGCTCTTCTTTTAACAATTTGTCCCATTCATTTTGAACCTGGAACATCAAACAGGATCCTGTGACACAGCTTCCACCTGAAATCCCTGTTCCTGCGGTTCCAGTACGACAAAGGAAGGCCCAGTGTTTTCAAACTTTTACTGGCAGCTCCAGTAACTAAAAAAATCCATAAATATGCATCGAAAGTATGGCTGTACAGCAAACATCTTCCATTACCTGGTGCTACAGCTGCTGGTTCCCACATTATGGAGAAGGTGGGATTTCTCTCTCAGCCATTTCCCCTGGTCTTGGTACCATTACAAATTCTAGCAGGCTAGAATCTATGTTTAGCTCTCTAGCTTAAATGGAAATGCTTTATAGCATAAACTTATATGACAGCTGCAGGACATTGGTAGGAATACGCTCATTTTCAGGTTCTTATTTTCTTAAACCTACAGGAAAGCCATTGTTAGAATGTGATTTCTATGTGTTGCATACAATTTACTATCTGATTTTCTGATCAAAACAGTGTACACTTCCGAAGCCAAATGGGCCTAAGTATTTTTATATCTGCTGGCATTAATCAAACAAGCCAGAATCTCATTTAAAAAAAAGTTCAATATTGAGATCTGAACACCTGCTAATGAACAGCCCTCTCCCCTGGCTATCTTCCATCTCCATTGCTTCTTCACCCAGACCGCCTGAAAAATATACTTCATAATGACAGTTTACTGATACTGATGTTATCAGGTTTCTGTTTTTTTAAGGTAGAAGTCAGTTGCTTACGCAAGATATAATTTTCCCAGCGCTGTGAAGTAATTCACACACTTCCTATTTCTGCCCCAAAATTGGTTGGAGTTTCTCATCCAGAGTCACAGGAAGTCTTTCCACTCATATCAGTGGGATTTCGAACACACTCAAATAACTGGCCACAACCTACACACAGAGATATTTTTTTCAGCCTGGCCTAACTCCTACCAGCTTCTTATATATAAAAGAGTTTCTGCTAAGAGAAGCGACAAATCAACCATATTTTACCTAAAAAGATCTTGACTCTTTTTTTCTGCAAACCCAGAATTGTATCGGGGGCTTCCTCTCATATGTGATATAAAATCATAACGTCATCAGGGACTTTATATAGCTCCATACAGCTCATAGTGTTAGATGACTTATTAGGTACAAGTTTGTCCACAAGCAAGTCTGGCTTGGAGTGGCTTAATCCAGCTCAGCGTAGAGCACCAGCACGTGGTTTGATGGGCCCGTTTGAGACATTTTTGAGACATGAGTGGCCAGGGCTCTATAAAAGGTGGAACTGAATTCAATGTTGGTCATTGTTCTGATTTCAGCTAGGAAATTTTAAGTTAACAACTTAATAGTACTTTCTGCATTGATACATCTGATAGATGCATCACAGCAACTATGAAGAGAATGGAAAGCCATTTAAATGCTCAGTAATCAATTGCAGTGGTTAATAAGAATTTAGGTAACCTAAGGATTGTCATCCAACAGTCTTTTTGTACATGCTTCTATCTTGACAAAATATTCACCTACAGGGCTGAAAAATCAGGTCAGCTATTTCACCAAGGCAGACAAGATGGGTGGTACACGTTGCAAGGAAGAAATTGTAAAGAAATGCAAGAAAGCATTCTTCAGATTTTAGGGGAATCTAGGCCTATCTGGAATGCTACGCCCACCTCAAATAAGGAAAGAGTCTGGTCCACACCTGTGTCACTTCATCCTATCCCTGCCACTTTGGAGACACCTGAATGCAGGGTCCTCTCCTCCCCAGTGCTTTGACTGTGGCTTTGCTTCCTTTCTTCCTTTCTCTCCCCCCTTTCATTATCTGTATCTGCTACCATTCAGATCAATACTCACATACTACTGACTTCAGCAGAGTCAACCCAGCCCTTTCTTAGGAGCATAACACACCCAAGGTGCAGGGAAAGCTGGTCATTTCCACCCCAGCAAGAGCTAAGCCAAGTGTGGGAGAGCATTGTGGCTCTCTCCGCCCCTTACTACAAATCCTACTGAGGTAAGGGGCTCTTCCTCTCATTTCTGCTGGGCTTTGGCTGAATCATCCACCTTGCAAAGTGGTGACCACTCACACTGATGGCAAGTCAAGAGGGAGTCATAAGAAGGGGCTCTAGATCCCACCAACAGTGAAAATCCCATTACCAATACAAAGTGTGTGAAAAATATCTTCTAGAAGTGCACCTTTAACATCAAAACAACTGTTTATTGTTTCATGGTGTAGTGTTTGGCACCCATAGCTGTTAGATCTTTAAACAGCATTTTGTTCGTTTCCTGTCTTGGTGGCAAAATAGCCAGAAGTGAAGGCCTGTTGTGAATGGAAATGATGTTTGTGGCTTTTCAAGTAGGATGAAAAAAAATTATGTGAGTTTTTTTTGTAAAACTACAAAAAGCTGCAAGATAATACCAGTGCTGCATTGACCCAGGACTTGCACATCACTGATTCTGGAGACAGGCACATCAGAAGTTTCTTACCTTGACCACTCTCCCCATGTGAGGTGTAAGAGGCAACATAGCCTGGAAGAAGAAGATGGACTGCTCCAATATAGATCCTGGGCCACCATCCAGCTCTTGCTGAAAGGTGTAGACAAACACCAGATAAACCCGGGAATGGACTTCTTTGCAGTTCAGCATCTGAAAAACATCCACCCTCTGCCTCAAATAATGTTTTTTTTTTTCCTTAAATCTTTGATTTATGAAAATAATACGCAATAAACTACTGAATGCTTTGTTCAGAAAACATAAGTCTATATAAGACTATATAGAAAGCACTGCCTTTCTCTGTTTCTCATTAGCGTTAGTTAAAAATAACTTTCAGAAAAGTCTCCTGAAGTGCTTTGCATTCTCCTGCTGTTGCAGGAAAAAATGGTAAACCTTTTCTTGTGTGACCTAGAAGAGTAAGTGAACTCAATGTTAGTAGCCCTTGCTGGTACAGCAAATTCAGGCTGTCAGTCAAGACAATGTCCTGATCTTGAGATAAGCCAGGCTGTAGCCCATCATTTCCCCTTGGAGATGATCACAACTCCATATTGCTGAAACTAGATTGTCATAGAAACTATATAAGACATTATCCTACATGGAGAATGAGATGGACTGCAAGATCTGACAGGTGTCTTAAAATTTCACTTCTAGTTCTAGAAACCCT